TTGGAAAGATATACATCAAACTGTGGGAATATGAAAGGCAATTAGGAGCAAGTTTTGTTTTTCTCTGAATTCTTTGAAAAATTGTTTATTAATATTAAAAGAAATAAATATTCTCAATACTCATTAAAGATGGTAAGGCAGACTTCACTCAAAGGGGGCTATGGGATAGGTACAGAGATCACTGCTTTGGGGTCTGGCTGTGGGGGAGAGAGATTGGGCTCAACTTCGACTACAACAAGGACACGTGAGGATGTATAACCAAGGGGCTAGCTATCAAGAATAAGGGGCTTCTGGCCAAACAGACTTGACAGAGTTCTTGCTGAAGACAGGTGAGGTGATGCCAAGGTAGTCAAATACCAAAGTTGGAGAATTTATGCTCAATTTAGCCTGACTTGGAGAGTTGCTCAAACTGGATTCAGCAAGGTCAGAGAGGAGAGCTCAAGATCAGGCTGGACAAAAAGGACTCAGGAGGCTGACTGATTAAAATTCTGGTCAAAGAAGAGAGTCTTTATCATTAACTATGTATGAGTTTATTATTGCTGCTATAACAAATGATCACAAAGTTAGTGGTTTGAAACCACACAGATTGTATTGAAATGGTCTCTTTGGACAAATGAAGATGTCATCAGGGGTGTGTTACTCCTGGAGGCTTTAGAGGAAAATCTGTTTCCTTGGCTTTTCCAACTTGGAGAGGCTGCCCCATGTTGTTTGGCTCATGGCCCCTTTCCATCTTTGGTGCCAGCAATCACATCACTATGATCACTGCTTCCATCAATATATCTACCTCTCTGACTGTTTTACCTCCCTCTTTCACTTATAAGGACCCTTATGATTACATTGGTTGGCCCAGAATAATCTATCTCAAAATTCTTAATTACATTTCAAAGTCTCTTTTTCCATGGAAGGTAACATATTTACAGGATCTGGCAAATAGGAAGTAGGTATCTTTGGGATAGGGGTGGGAATCATCATTCTGCGCAACTTTAAAAAACTTATTAAAAATCTTATATCATAGCCAGGTGTGGTGGTGCCTACCTATAACCCCAGAGACCCAGGAGGCTGAGGCAGAAGGAGCACAAGTTCAAGTCCAGTCTCAACAACTTAGCGAGACCCTCAGCAACTTACTAAGCACCTGTCTTAAAAAATAAAAATGGCTGGGGAATGTAACTCAGTGGTAAAGCACCCCTGGATTCAACCCCCAGTGTCCACCCCAAAAACAAATCTTATAATTTTTTTCTCATTATTAACAATTTCTCATAATTACAATCTATTTTACTGGTCCCTTTATTTGGGATAATGTAGGTTATTTTACATTGCCATGATAGTTATTTTCATTATATACATCTTTGGGCCCTTTGGGGAACCCTAAATCAGGAAGGGGTGAAGAAAATGGACTTTATGAGTTTAAATGCAAACTCTATCTCAAGTTATCCTTGACACTGGAGTCTCAGTTTCTTCATCTTCAATAAAAGGGGGTTCTTACAGCAGCTCCAAACCTACAGATGTCATCTTAGCTTCATCATACAATCCACCTATTTAAAGTGTAAGTTCAGTGGTTTTAGCTTTATGAGGTTTTTGCAGGATTCAATTACACAGAACATATGAATTGTGTTTGCTTTTTTAGAACAGTTCTCACTATGATGGCCAAACTCATGGGCTTAAGTGATCCTCCTGCCTCAGCCTCCTGAGGAGCTGGAACCACAGGTGCACACCACCACATCTACCTCCAAGGCTAGGGTTTTTGTTTTGTGGTGTTGTGCATGGGAGGCAAGCACTCTACCAACTGAGCTTTATCCCCAGCCCCAAGGCTAGGTTTTAAGAAGCAGCAATACAAGCTAAAAGCCTGTATGCCTATCAAATGCTTTGGAAATAGACCTTGTCAAGATATATGGGAGTCTTCTGAGTTCTCCAAAATGTATTTGTTTTGGAAGGAATTTTAGTGTTGGATAGAATTTGGGAACATATGCCGCAGTCTGGCTGGGCATAAAATCATGAGCCACTCTAGCAGGAACAAATTTTATTTCCAAAACTCCTGGGAATGCCATGCACGCACGCGGCCTTCTCCGGGGACACACTACACCAACAGGAAATACCTCCTCCGGAATTCCCTCCTACTGCACTTCCCCAACCAATGGGAACTCTCCGGGAGTCACGAGAGAGCTCCAAAGTAGCAGGCTGAGGCGGACAGCAGGGGTCTAATCTCCAATTGAATGCACATCTTAACATAATCATTATCATCTCAATGGCTTGCTGGCGTCACCTTTCAACCAAAAATGCCATGCGTGATTCCTACTTGGCTATGGCTCTCAGCAAACATAGAAGGAATTAATAGGAAGTTGTTGGGCTGTTTGATCCAAGATGGCCTCTCTTATTTTCCCTATAGAACTCTCTAAATTACACTCACCCCCAAATGGCACACATGGAGTAACTGGGGAGGTCAATACTGGTTTCCTGGCCTGTCACCCACCCTGCAGAGCCACCCACTTGACTCTTCATATATCCAAGTGAAACTCCTTCAGTTTAGGCTGCATTGGTGCCATTTCCAATTGCCCATGTTAATTCACACCACGCCAGGTACATGGCAGGAGCTACATGCCAATTTTGTGGGGTGCCCAACCTATCTACCAACGAACCATAAAAACATATTCCATTTGGCTGTGGGAGGACTGACTGCAGGTTTCAGGGCTGAGTTGGTGAAATGTCAGCCACATCTGGAGTGTGTTGCACCAGAGTGGTGTGTGGGTGAATCCTCAGGCAACCCACAGGTGTGGGAGCAGGTTACGTGAGATGGGTGTGGGTTAGGTGACGAAGGATGACAAGAAGCAGCATGGAGGGTGGGTGGAGTCAGGGGTGGGCAAGGGTGGAGGTAAAGAATGGGGCCCTGGCAGGGTTTGGATTTAGTAGTCAGATCAATGGTTTAGAATCGTTTTTGGGTCATGGCCTCCTTTAGGAATCTGATATATCATGAAGAAAGAACACACACGCACACAGACACTGACCCACAAATTTTGCTCACAGTTTCAGGGGTTCCTGGAACCCGGAAAGCTTGTTCAAGGGTTGAGATTAAGAATCTCTGATCTGGACTAGCTGATAGGAACTTGCGGGTAAAAATCCTAAAGTAGCATTAAGATTTTGAGAATGTTTGTGTCCTCTAGTGTGCTTTATTTGTTTTCTCCCAGTATTTATTTTGAAAAATTTCAAACCTACCAAAAAGTTGCAATTTCACAGACCCTTTAATCACAATTAATTACATTCACTGTCAACTTTTCCCCCCAATAGCCCCACCTCCCCCTGCTTGCTTATGCTCTCAGGAACTCAAATTTTCCTGGAGACCATATGAGAATAAATTACAGATATTATGATACTTCATTCGTAAGCACTTGGCCTATAACTCCTAAAATCAAAGGGTTCTCCTGCATAGCCACAGTGCAACGACCACACCGACAAAATTTAACATCGATGTAACACTATTATGTAATATATGACCTATATTCAAATTCCCTCAATAGTGTCCTTCTGTTTGCTGTATTCTTTCTCCCCCTCCCTGTCTCTTCCCACCTTTTAAAATCCAGAATTGAATCCAGAATCAGGTGCTTCACTTAGTCTCTTAGTCTCCTTTAATGGGGTTTGGTTTCTATTGTGATACTGATTATTTTAAAGAGTCCAGGATGCTGGTCTTGTCAAATGTCCCCCAATTTGGATTTGTCTGCTTGTGTCCTACCGATTAGTTTCAGGTTGAAGATTTTGGGCAGAATATCACAAGGGTGATGTTGCTCTTCTCACCACAGCACATCAGAGGGTCAGTTGATTCCTTACTGATGATAAGTATGATCAGTGGTTAGGGAACTTCTAAGTTCTCCTATGTAACCCCCAAGTCATCTTTGGGATAGCATGGTAACCACTGAAAGCCTCTGGCTGTGGCCAGTAACAGATGAGCCAGTGCTGAGCATCCAGTCCTCATGCTGTTTTTACCTTTAAGGTGAAACTTGAAAAGGAAAAAGAGTAGGCCTTGGGAAGGTGGAGGTGTCCCCTAGCCAAGCTTGGAAGGTGAAAGGAACTGAAAGGGGTGTGTGCGTGTGATGGTCTTGGGGAAGCAAAAGTGTTAGGAGAAACGCCCTGTCCAATAATAATAGCATAACACTTAGTAATCTTAACACTGAACGCTGTTTTGTTTCGCTGTGGTTTACCTTTTTAATTCTTCACACAGCCCTGTGAAGTAGACGCCATTACTGGCTTTATGCTATAAAATCTGCAGCACAAGGTCACACATTTGTAAGTCCTTGCTCTGAACTACATGAAGGAGGAGGGAGCAAGATCTCACATAAAAAAACAGAATGAACAAGGATTGGAGTAGGAGCACCAGGGCTGGGAGAGGAGGTTCTATTCTAAAAGACCCAGGGTGGGCAAGCAAAACAAAAGCCAGGCCCAGTAGAAGAAATAAGAGAGTGTTCAGAGCTAGAAGGCAACACCATCACACGGGACGGTTGGGGTGGCCACCCCACCCTCAGCTATCACTAACCCCTAGTCTGTCCCTTCAGGCTGGACTGGCCATTCCCATACTCTCCCTTCTCCCAAATAAAAACAAAAAGGAAAATAAAAAAGGATTTTTACAGAGTCTCAAAGTATCTCCCTACAAATTACTTCTTAGTTACAAAGGGAAAAATAGTAACTTAATAGTGGAGCAACCTGACCCATTCCAGTTTAACGAAATGACCCAAGAGGACATTCAGAGGGTTCTCAGGGAAGGCTCTGGAAAGGGATTTGAGGGAAGCTCGGGAAGACGTAGGGAAAGGCAGGCTCTGGATGAAGAGAGAATGGGAGGTCCTGGGGTTGAGGGGGTCTGTGGGAGACAGGACAGGGTCCAGAGGGGAAGGAAGAGGAAGGAGAAATCTGCAAGTGGGGAGTTTCTGAGTTATGAGCGAGACATAGGGAGGGATTTGATGAGACCAGCTGGGTGACAGGCAGGTCAGAACAGGGTGGGAATGGGAGGTCTTGCGGATATGAACCTGGGTGACCAGAAGGACAGGGTGGGAGTGGGCGTCTCCGGGAGCTCCTGAGAGGGCCGCGACTCGAGGGGGATTGGCTCCAGGG